GTTCCCACAACAAATCAATACCTCTGGGGGTACTGATCCAGGAGTTTCCTTGTCTTCTGGATTGGTTCAAAATTACAAGGCTACGGAGTTGAACGTTAGTAGTCGTAAACCCATGAACTTGGGTCGGCTGTTCAACGACGGTTATAAAATAAAATAAAATTGCTATACCCTAGCCGCGATAGCTCAGGGGATGGAGCGTTTGCCTTCCAATGAGGTGAGCCGGGATCGAACTCAATGATTGCTGGCAATGATTGCTCAATGATCGAATTCCGCATCCAGCTTGCACAGACCACAGTGCTGACGTGAAATATCCTCAGTGGCAGACGGATCATGGGTTAGAGTCCCTTTGCCGTCAGACTAACCGTGGGAGGCTCTCGTGGTCTTCATCTCCATGTAATGTCAATGCGGGTTAGTTCCATTGAAAAAGTACTCCACGAATGCAAAATTTCTCCCGATACTTGATACAAGAGCTCCTTTGTTTTCTATATTGAGTTCAAAAGTAAAAGGCTACAGAGTTGAACATTAGAACTCGTAAACCCAAAAATTGGGTCAGCTGTTCAATGACGGTTATAATAAAAAATGAGAAAATTGTTTAACCCTTGGTCGGGATAGCCTGCTTGGTAGGGCACTGGGCCCATGTATAAGAGTTCGTAGGTTCGATCTCCGCCAGCCGAAAACTCCCCGTGTAGTAAATGGTGATTGATGCACGTTAAGTCTGTCGAGTCACAAAGTCCTCCATGTTCCCATAACAAGTCATACCTCTGGGGGTACTGATCCAGGAGTTTCCTTGTCTTCTGGATTGGTTCAAAATTACAAGGCTGCGGAATTGAGCATTGGTAGTCGTAAACCCAAAAATTGGGTCGGTTACAAAATAAAATACAAAAAAAAAAAAAATTTATACCCCTATGCTTTTTAATTTACTTATTTTAATTAACTTCTTCGTTTTGAAAATTACTTACTATTTGAGGATTACAATTTGTTAGCATTTAAGAAAAATTATGCCTAGTTAAAAAATGCTTTATTTTATGTGCATTGAGTTTTTGGGGCTATAAAAATGTGTTTAACTTTGTTAAAATCATTGCATATCTTAAAAATGCTTAATTTTATGCATGTGAAGTTTTTTAGTTCTATTTTAAATAGTATGAAATTTAATAGGGGCCCAAAACATTTCAGTGCCCGGGGGACCTGCTTGCTATTAAGACGGCCCTGTCTTAAGGGAACGTTTGCGACACTTGGCCATATTGTAAGTGATGTCGCATCGCCTTAAATATTGAGTTGTAGCGTAGCCGTGAAATAGGGTGCATGTAGGTTTTTTCAAAGAGAAAAATTATATACTTTTGCTAGCTATTCCAGCAGCCTCAGAATAAGATGTTCAGTATTTCGTGAAAAATGTGCACTTGAAATTTAGATATCTCAAATGTGCTTTCTTGTCGGAAGATTGCCATGTTCTTTAAGTATTTTTTGTCAGAACAGTCTGCTTCACTTTCTTATTTGAACGCGATTTTGCCGAGCTGGATGATTCCCCTGTCGACGAAACTGAAAACCGGAATCGACGACATCTTGAACGAATCTTCGGACTACAATTGTTTTTCTGTCAGATTTTTCGAGAACCAAAGATTTTATTCCTGTCTTTTCTACAAAGAGTATTTGCTATGCAGT